AAGTGTAGTTTCCCTTGTTGCCTGTATGTTTCCCATGTGAGCATGGTTACCCACCTAACAAACAACTAACAAAACCAGTTAGAGTTAGAGGCTGACCGAGCTTCAGAGGTAACTTCAGATGAAGCAAAACCAGACTAAACACCAAAAAGACTTCACATGCTTGATCTGCATTTAAAAAAACCCCATACAAATGGACTAGTAAAGACTTGAATCATCATTTTCTTTAAAAATATGTACCCCAATGCAGTGCTGCAACTGAGAAATATCCATGGCAACATGAAAACACATATAAGAGCTCTCTCTATTTAATAACTTTGTGACACCTTAATGTTTTAAATTATAGAGAAGGTCAGTATTTAAAATTATAGAGAAGTTCAACAGATAAAACCCAAACAAAGAGTACTCTAAACTAATCTAAGTGTCCACAGCATGCTCTCCCACCCCGATGTTTTAAATGTTTTTATCAATCCATTAAATTAATATTTCCCATACTTTCTCTTTAAAGAATTGATCGTAACACAGGGGCCCTGCTAGTACTTGATAGTGTGTGAAAGCAGCAGCCTGGGCTGAATTTTATCTCTAATTCACCTCTTTCCTGAATTAGCAGCTGACACAAGGAAGGCTTACTGTCAGTATCTAGGAGACATTTTGACTTTGGAAACCATTTTCTCTCTGCCAGACACTTGGTTCCAGCTGGCTGAGACATGATTTGATTCTGCTGTGTTGCTGCCAGGGCAAGAGGTCTGCCCAGCTGGACAGTCCTTGCGCTGGGGCCGTGATCCAGGGGACCCTTACACGTCCCTTGCAGCTGTTCTGTACCTTCTCCTGCTTCCTGATGGCAGCAGCCCTGCTCTTCACACCTGGGTGTGTAAGGAACAGGAGTTTCCCCTTGTGCAGGTGCTCAAATTGGATCTGGATTCCAGGCAGCTGCATTTGCAACGTGACCCATGGCTACAGTCCCAAACATCCATATCTGCATCCCTACCAAGGCATGCATCGGATGCCTTTTGCCAGTGCAAACAGGTGTCCTTCCTGGGAAAACCAAGATGCAGGATCAAAGGTGCTGATGCATTGCTGTGTCTTACTCACTTAAGCCACAGCACAGCTGGAGCACACATCCAGACCTGAGAAGTGCTCCTGGATCCTGCAGTTTAGGCACAGAGGCTTAAGGAAAACCCCATTCCCTCTAGTGATTTTTGGCATTTCCCTACCTCTGCTTCTTTAGGTGTAGTCCTTGTCCTCTGTAGTACACAGGGTCCTTGGCTGGATCCTCTCACCTCCTCAGAGCTGAGGACTGCTTCTGGCTTCCCAACTTCCAGCAGGTCCACCACCACTACACCGACTGTCCTGCTACTCAAACCACCTCCTTTCCCCTGCCCAAGGCTTGCTCCTTTTTCATGTGCAGCTCCAAGTCAGTTGGCATTGCTCTCTACCAAATCCTCACTTTTTGTTCTGCTTTAGCCAGCTTTCCAAACTCCATGTTCTGCACAAGGAGCAAGCTGGTTCTCCTCCACACCAGCAAACACGTTCCCATTAACCTTAAGGATGTCCTTCACCTCGGACTGGGCTGGGCTCTGCTAAGGCCACTGTCAGCAAAGGGGGATTTCATACACCCCAGTCCCTCAGTTTTAGTGGTGAGCTGCACCCAGGACTCACCAGCTGCCTACAAGGCAGTTGCCCACAGTCATCACGGATCCTCAACAGCCTGTTACTAACCCACGTGCACTTGGCAGTTCAGTCCTCAGCAGTTTGGTCCCTTCCAACATGTTCCCATGGGAATACCAGCATCCTGAATGGCTGATTCCAGCCAAGACCAGGAGTATGGCAGGTCCACAGGACAGCTAAGATTTTGTTCACACTGTTAGAAGAGGCATTCTAAAAATGTGCCCACAAAGAGTGCATGATTGATTTTTACCTCCTTAGTCCACCACTCCACAACTGAAATGGAAGACATTTACATAAGTAAAACCAACAATTATTCTGATAATAACTGCAGCTTAAAAATCCTTAACTTCACTGACATTGCTGGGGACCTCAGCGGAGCAAGGACAGTGGCACTCAGCCAGCAGGAAGGGCAGCAACATTACCATGCCGAGATCAAGAGAGTTATTAACCCAGAGTCCTTCCACTGCTGAGTGCAGATGGTCATTTCAGCTATTTCAAAGTCCCACTGCAACTTCCTGGTGAACAGAGCTCAGTGTTTGCATGGCTGAGGAACAAAAAGGGTATCAGAACATTAGAGCGCAAGTCCACATCCATCTCTGGAGAGACAGGCACACAGCCCCATGTGCCACAGGACACATCTGAATCTCCATGACCCTCACGCTCTGGAAATATTCAAATGGGATCCTGTTCCTTGCTCCAAGTCCCGTTGCTTTCCTGCCTACGCTGTCTGCCTGCTTCTGCACACTAAGACATCATCTGCACCCAGTTCACTGCCCAGAACTCAGCCCAGATTCACTGGAGGAAGAGTTGAGGAAGATGAGAAGAGTCTTCTTGCCTGTTGTCCAGAAGGTAAAGAAAAACAAAAGCAAAGAAAAACAAAAGGACTTTGGCAGAAAACGAAATATTCCAGAAGTACAAGTAACAATAGATTGTACATTTTTCAAAAGCAGAGCCATTTTTCCAGAATTAAAGGGGGGAAATACTGGAACCCAGAGGTATCATTAGCACTGCTCAGATATGGCCAGACATGTTTCCACATTGCCGGGGCTCTCAGCACTTCTGTAAATCTCCTTTTACACTCCTTTGATACGACCCTCCCATAGTAACTTCAATGAGACACCTCAAGAATTTTTATTGTTTGTACATTTAAGCTCTCATTAGGCTGTTCTCCTATTTCAGAGGAAAATGTCAAGTTTCCTTTAAGCTTGCCATTTATCAGCTCCTCTCCTTTTTCTGTAGGATGACTATTCCATTAAAGACGTGGTCCTCAGCCTGAGACAAAATGGATGATGTGTCTGTTTGAAATAGGATTGTTTACTTTGTCAATGCTCCTGGGATCAATTTCATTTTTTCCCCACCATCTCCTATGGAGAACATCTTGCCAAGTGCAGTATTCATCTCCCTGAATGAGCTATCGAGATCCATTTTTTTTTTTTTGAGAGAAATCATGCTGCAACCCAAACTGGTCAGAATCTCCCACAATTTCAGGACCATGCATGGGTACGAATAATACAGAGCTTTATCTGGAACAATTTCAGTATTTCTTTCACAATTTCTCAAGAAAACAGATGCCGTGAAAGAGAAAATTATACGCTTGTAGTTTTAACACCAGAAATAGAAAGCGGCGCACGTTCTCCCTCGCTGGGTGCTCAGACCTGTCTGAACACACTCTCACAGGCACAAATACAGGAGCAACACTGCAACGTCCCCGTTGCACTGAATCCACCCCGAGCAGCTTCACCAGCGAGACAATTCACAGGCGAGATCCGCTAATAAGCTGCTGGCAAATGAGATCTTAATTGTAGATTTATTTAATTCAGAGACAAGCGCTCGTGTTGTATTAAGAGCAGCCTATTAACATTCATGCGTGAGCATTCACTAAGTGTGAATAGATACAATTCAGCGCAAAACTGCATTTCTAAGCGCTGGAAGAGGGAGTAATCACCTAAACCATCACCCTGCTCTGAGCGGGAGGGGTCGGCCACCAGGGAATGAAACGCCGTTCCAGGCATTGTGTCGGGTTCTCGTACTCAAGCATGTCTCACTATCAATCATTTCTGAAGCAACAGCGCCGAGACTTCCCAAAGCTCCCGTTATTGTCTTGCACGCTCCCCAGCATTCAAACCAAATAGGAAGTGCAAATAAATCGTCAGCAGAATTTTGAGACAAAAAATTTAAAAGCTACATCTGTTGGAGGATACTATGTTCTGCCTGACACCCCTGCACGATGCTGATGACAAGTCTAGGTTAATCACACAGATGATGAATTGATTCTTACGTCAACTCCTTTAAAAACAACAACGTTACAGGTGTAGCAGCCAGGGGGCTGATGCATTCCTGCTGGCACCTGCACTTCTTGGGATGAGCCACTAGACAAAGGAGCACGCCGGCATTTTGAAGGATGCGACCACGACAGCATCAAAATATACCTTAGTTACCAACTTTCATTATTTGCCCCTCACAAGATTCACTTACAGGTTCAGTCTCTGGGACAGTGTGTATTGGGAAAAACACCCCTCAATGACCAGTGAGCCACCGGGAATGGACAAAGTGCTCACCGACCGCTCTCCATCCACTCCCGTGTACGCCCTCCCTACCCACACCACGGCTGTGCTGCCCTCTGCTCCTGGCACCTTCTCCAGCACCCACTGCCCTTCCTCTCCCATTCAACCCAATTCCTTTTTACTATGCCCTACCAGTGCCCCTCTTTTGGAAGCCTGGTCTCATTTTATGACTACTGCCAACTCTTTGAGGCCAGAAAGGTCTTTCTGACACGGGGGAAAAAAAAAATAATAAAAAAATCACTGCATCCGTTCTGAAAGGCTTTTGTTTTGGGATTTACTTCGCCCCCATTTAAATTGAATCCCTTTATTCCTCTCCCCAAAGGCAGCATGGTGTACAGTGCCAACAACCCCTCGGAACAATCGGCCCCAGAGCTCACGGTGTATAATAAATCAGGGTGGACACACCATCCAGCAGAATAGACGCCTCCTCCCCGAGCGCTGCCCTTCATTCACACAGAGGATGGAGCGTGAGCCGCTCCATTTGCAAACACCCTGGGCTCCTTATCGATTAGAAGCAGGAGCGCGTTTCACCGCCGGAGCGCATTCCCAGTTTTAATCTCCGCAGGAACACACTCCCCTGCACCAAGCCCGGACCCTGCGCACACACCTGGCCAGGCTGAGCCCCCTCCGGGCGGCCGAGGGACCCCCGGCACCCGGAGCCCCAGCGGGGCCGGGGACAGCGCCCGACACGGAGCGCACCCGGGGATGGGCACAGGGACACCGGGAACCACCGGGAACCACCGACCCCGCGTCCCCCCAGCGCCCCCATACCCGCATCCTCCTCGTCGAAGCTGTTCATGCAGGGGAAGTAGATGGCGAGGGCCTCGAAGGATGCGGAGAGGCTGAGGCGGCTCTGCGAGCGCTCCATGAAGAGCCCCTGTCCGGGGGCGCCGCCGGGGGTCTCGCCCGCGGCCGCGGGCGGCTTGGCGAGCTTGGCCGCCCCATTCTTCACTCGGAGCACGGCCCGCGGCGTCTTGGCGGCGGCGGGGCCGCGCTGAGGCGGCGGGCGAGGCGAGGCGGGAGCGCGGAGCGGAGCGAGCACAGCCACCTGCTGCCCGCCGGCTCTGGGCGCCGCCGCCGCCCCCCGCCCGCCCCGGCAGCGCCGCCGCCAATGCTGAGGGAGGGGCGGGCCGGCCGCGCCCCCCGCCCGCCCCGGGGGAACGGAGCGAGCCTCCCCCGCCCGGAGCGCGGCCTGGGCGAGCCGAGGGGCTCCGATCGCGCCCGGGGGCTGTGATCGCCGTGCCCCGGCCGCGGAAGGTCCGTCACGTCCCTGTCACAGAGGCAGTGCCGCTGTAGGTTTGCCTATCGGTTCATCTGAGACTGACTGTGAAGTAACCAGACGGAGCGTGGCCCTGGGTTGGATCTCACTCAGTTCATTATTTCTTGCTGTTTGTGTTCAGGGAATGTTGAAGGCTGAAGCCCCGAAGAACCAGGCACAGTATAAACACAGAGTGAAAGCCTTTCTCTTCCCCAAGTCCTCGCTGTCTAAGTAGCCAAGACAAAGAACAGAAGGCAGTATGATTTTTCTTACACAAGTTCAGGGTATGAAGCATGGGAGTTTAGCTTGGCTTGTCCAACACTGCATAAGGAAAGTCTCCCTTCGAGCTAGGAGCTGAATGCAGATTTCCTGCCTTAATCTCAAGACTACCTTCTCAAACAGCAATGAACAACCTTGAGGCTTTAAGGAGGTTTCTTGCAAAAGGGGGAAGATAAGCGACACCAATAGGATTGAAGGCGCAGCCCCGCAGACACCGATGCCGGGACAAGGATGGCCCCAGAGAGCAGAGCCTGCAGTAACAGGGAGGGGGATCCACCTCTCCCATTTGTAAAGGGATATTTCAGTCACTGCCCGTGTCAGAGGTCCCTCTGTCTCCCCAGATAAGCTGTTTCCAACCAAATCACAACTGCATTTAACTCCATGCATTAAACTTTCTTTCCTTTCCTCCACCCACATCCCCAAAGTCATTATCATCACCCACCAACAGAACAGTCATTTCCAAGGTACCTCTCTCAGACACCAAAAAAAAAAAACCAAACCCTCCCCAAAATATAAAAGCCAGTGTTTGGATGTATATAAGCTCCCAAGGGGAAAGCATATAAACCAGGATGTTTTCCTTGGTGAGTTACATTAAATGGGAAGGCAGCTGCCTGTTGTGGCTCAGCATTAAGCCCATTCTGCAGCACAGTGCAACAAAACCTGGGATGGGGTGACACGGGATGTGTTTTCCAACAGCAGGTTGGTCTGCCCAGCAAGGTTACTGTCCCCTCAGGGCAAAAAAGGAAGATGTTCCTCAGGTGCTTGGTCTGTCCACCCATCATGATAACCAACTGCCATCCCACTGAACACATGAAGCCACAGACTTATTTGTGCTATTCCAAAAATACAGATTACAGCCCAGCATCTCTGTAAGAAAAACTGTGGCTAAAACTACTATACATTGAGTGCTGCAGAACAAGAGCCTGAAGTGAAAAAGTATTTTCCCTCTCTAGTGCTTGGGCTCAGCTACAGACAACCAGAAGACAAGCAGACTGGGCCTCCTGGGTCAGTCATTCCCAGTGGTCTGCTCAACCCCACTTGAGCTTTAAGGCTGTAATTGGCCCAGAGATCTCCAACTTTCAAATGCTGCTTTTTTTTATTTCTATGCACAGTAAGCAATTATAGCCCATAATATTACCTGTAGTCTTCTCTCAAACAGTTAATAAATCAATATATTGAAACTCTTCTAATCTACTAAAAAACCTACCAGAGCTGTATAATTTTTGTGGCTGCCAGTGTCAGGAAGCAAGAGCAGGGAAAGGGTGCCAGGAACAACCTAGAATGACCCCATGCCATGGGAGGTAGAGCAAGGTGTGGGGGGAATGGGGTCCAGTAAACACACCAACTGCAAGGCCATCCGTGAAAAGCCAAACACCAGTTAAAGAGCAGATCGAAGACAGACTCACCTACAGCACAGCCCAGGCACAAACTGAAGGCCCCTGGGGTTGGAGGTTTAATAGAGCTCCTGGCTGAAGGTGTGAATGTGAGCCCCAGATGAGGCTTGTTGGGGCAATTAAGGCCAATTAGTGCACTCCGGGCCCTGGCATCCAGAGTCTTCATTACCAGTGATGCATCCAGAATGGCAGAGGTCATATGAATATCATATGCCAAGCTGAGTTTGCAGGGCTTCCCAATAGAAAATATGGTATTTAATTCAAAATCTAATCAAAATTTACTCTGGAGTTAGTGAGTTAGATGAATTACTTCATCAAAGCTAGGCCAGGCAGGCAGTAAAGCAGAAGGAACAGAATGAACTTATTACAGACAATGATGACTCCAGGTCTGAGTTTTGAAAGGCAGGGGAATCAGTGAGGAATGTATTACCATATGTTTAAGATGAGATTTCAATAGCACCAATCAAGGCATTAGCAACAGCTATAGGGACAAATCTAAGTGCATTAAAGCTGTTAAGTCAGCTCCTGTCTACCAGTCCTGCCAGCACATTTGATCAGAGGAGCAAGAGGCATCTGCGAATCAAAATCTGCTTCCAGGTTGCCAGGCACAGGATCTACCTAAAATTGCTGAGAGCTGCTTTCTTTTCATTTAAAGAATGCAAGGAAAAACTTAAATGGGGAATAGAAATTTAATCTCAGCTTCATGCTGTGGTCATCTAAATGTCTCTTGTTTTCCTACATCTTGAAAGCACAGTGATGGCAGACACTGGGTTGGAGAGCAGATCTGTTCCCACAGCACTCTTCTCTGTCCTTTGTTTTCTTCACCAGCACACCAGGACTGGAGACCCTTCTGCTTTTAGTGCTTTGAGATCTACCTTTGAGGTGCTGAGGAAGACCATCATCACCTTTCTCCATGCTCATCCATATCCCAGCTTCCTCTCAGACACAGTGTGAACCCCTTGTACCTGCACAGCTCAGCACCACTTGGAGGTCACATCCCCTCAAGGTTCCTTTTGTGCAGTTTTTTCCAGGCTGTCTCCCACCTCTCTCTTTACCATACCTGTGGGATCAACCACGCTCAAGTCCTTCCCTGCTCCTGTCTGCCACAGAGGGTCTTGGGCTGAGTGCTCTTAGCATCATCCCTTGCCTTTGGTGTCATCTGCCTCTCATTTGCCTGCTACATTTTGCTCCTCGGGGCAGGGACAGATCTGTGTCCTGCAGGGCTCTTTGATTATTGGTTGGGCCAAAACATCCTAAACTAAAAGCATCTGCCTTAAAGTGAGACAAAATGCATTGACAGCTGGAAATCAAAGGGACAGTTAAAGGCATAATGCCCTCCAGATGCCTGGAGGAAACTGTTTATTTTGGCTGCCTGTTTAAGGGAAATACGGATTTGCAGTGAAGCTGGAAATTGTTAGTTTGTAAGTGTTCTTCTTCACTGATCAACATGGACAGAAAGATCCTTGGGAGGGACTCAGAGAAGTGAAGATAAGCAAGGAGGAAGGTTCCTGTGATGTTGTAAATAAGCTGGGAGTGCAACTGGGAACAAATAAACTCAAAGATTTAGTACCTCCAGAACAGCACGTCTGCGGCTGCTCTAGTGGAAGTGGTTAATTGATTGTTTCCCCAGTGAAGCAGGCTCTGACTGATTGAACCATGGAAAGCTCTCATAGATTTTTCCTGCTGGCTCTTTCTCTTCCCACTAGTCACGTAGCTTATATTTTTGCCTTCACTCTTAGGTGTCTGGTTCAGCCTAGGAAGTTAGCTTTTATATACTGGAGCAAGGATATGCTGCCCTCTCCCTCTCGTACTCCCTACGGTTCTGTGTGTTCCTGTTTGGAAATAAAACCAAACTACCTGATTTGTGTATCTTTCTCTTTCTGCTCTGTCTGCCCACTGCTTGCTCAAAACAGAGTCCACGTGCTGGGAGCTCAAATGCAGCGGGGAAACAAGCCCTGCTAGTGAGAACACATCTCGTGCATAAATCTGCTCAGGGTAAATCCAGCAAGGGTGAGGAGAGCTGAGCTCCTCCCCGTCTCATACGACCCCTTCCCTGAGTGAAGCCAGGCAGTTCATAGCTGGCAGTACACGATGTTCTCCAGCTCCCAAAAGCAAATGCAGACTTTATCATCCCTGTTCTCTAGGGCTTTAATTGATTCCCTTACAAGCTCCTCTTGGTCGTTCTGGGCAGGCTGGAGGGCAGGATGTGAGATGTGCTGAGCATGGATACACAGAACCAGGGAATAAACACCACAGGAGGGCCGTGGTCTTGTGGCACTGCATCAACATGGGGTGATGCTCAGAGATACTGGCTCACGTGCCCAACCAGAGCAAGCACCACAGCTTCACTGGGCTTGGTTGTTGTACACTTACATAGCAATACACATTTTAACTTATTTAATATTTCTTGCTGTTTGTGTTCAGGGAATGTTGAAGGCTGAAGCCCCGAAGAACCAGGCACAGTATAAACACAGAGTGAAAGCCTTTCTCTTCCCCAAGTCCTCGCTGTCTAAGTAGCCAAGACAAAGAACAGAAGGCAGTACGATTTTTCTTACACAAGTTCAGGGTATGAAGCATGGGAGTTTAGCTTGGCTTGTCCAACACTGCATAAGGAAAGTCTCCCTTCGAGCTAGGAGCTGAATGCAGATTTCCTGCCTTAATCTCAAGACTACCTTCTGCTTTTCACTAATAATAGAAGCAATATTCTAACCTTAGAAAAATTAAATTTTAAGCCAGACAGACTTTTACAACATCCTGTGTTGGTTGGGATCCAGGCAAGCCAGGAGTGCTCTGGTCTGTGCATAGCCCAGCCACCTCCATGCCCTGGAGCTATACTGTGTGCAGTGTCAGGTCACAATGCTCTGCCTTTACTCAAACCTCAAACCCCACCTAGAAGCTGATATCCTGTTGTTTTAAGTCACATCTCTCCTACACTCTCTTTAGCTATCAAAACCAAGCCCACAAAGGTGCTAAAGGACTAGTGAGACAGAGCTGAGAGGATGAGTAATGAGATGCTGAGCTGTCAGCCCCGGGTCCCTTGCTTTTTCTCACACTTGTGTAGCCAGCATTTTCCCGAGTCCAGAGAACTCAAGGCTTCACAGCACGTGCTGCACTCTGGCTTTAC